CGTGTGTGTGTCGAACTTTGTGTGTGTAGAGTTTCTGTTCACAAATTCAATCCCCATAGACACAAGTCACTTGGTTCGGTCTGAAAAGGTGTCGTCAGGCTGCTTCTCTTGTTCTAGTCTTTTTCCTGCTGAAAGCACCGTCAGACTGTTGAGCTCAGAGCTACACCAAAAAGTATTTTACTGGTGTGTGTGTGTGTGTGTGTGTGAGCGTGTGTGTGGAGGGGATCTAGTCTGGATTGGCATTTCATTCAATTTTTGTGGGAGTGGGAGTGTCAGACAACAATAGATTTTTCAGGCAGTCTAAAATCTACTGAGTACAAAAGTACAAACAGAAAATGTTTTTCCTATTGTGCCGTACGCCGATGGTTCCCCACTGTGTTTTTTGGCAATGTGACCCCTTAAAAATTAGGTGCTGTCAAGCCGGGGCCTTTCGTCACAGATGGACGTGGCCTCAGTGAGGGACACCACAAATTATTATAAATTTATGGGGGATTTTCCAGGGCATCTTACAGTGTTTCATAATAACTGTAACATACAGTTAAATGTTTATGATTAACAGTCACCCCACGCGGTGGAAATACACCTCTCTATACAAGTTCAATGAATTGTAATCCATCTACATCTGCTGTCCATAGGTTAATGTGTCTCCAATGATGATAGAATATTTTTATTATTCAAACCGTTCATTGCCTAAAAATTATTTTTGAGTGACAAGACGTGACCGACAGCTCCTGAACGCGAGGAGTAACTCATTGCCTCGTCTCCCGAGCGGATGTTATTGAAACCAGCGGGAAAAGCACAGTTGTTAAAGAGTTGTGTGCTGCTATGTTCTCAATTCTGAATCCTGTAAAGTCTTCAAAAACAACAACAACAAGCCTTCACGTTGCCTATTGCTGTCTGATCTTTGTAGCTTTCATCCCATTCAAGAATATTTTCTGTCTCTACCTTAACACGGTCTCCCTCCTGACTTCTGTTTAACATTGTCTACTTCCATAAGTCGGTTTCATTTTCCACCACTGAAACTGTACAAATGTTTCATTTTGTTTATTACATCACTACAGGATTAAAGATGGCGGCCAGTTGCTACGGTCAACTCCAAGGTGTAAGTTCATGAGTAAATTGATAGAGTCAGTTTGTGGAGTGCATGGGTGCTAATTTAGTGCTTTACATTTACATTCAAAGACACACTGGTGATAATTTGTATCTGAGGTGCGTATGAGTTCCCTTCATCTGGTTCCTGATGATTTTGTGGTTTCATTCTTTTTTTTCTACACATGCAATATATTTTTAAGTTTTGTTCTTGGATACAAATGTCCCAGAAATATTTGTCCTGAAGACATGTAATAAACTGCAACCGTTATGTATTAAATTAGTTTTTACACTTTTGTAAATAAACGGCAACATTCTGGCATTTATCGTAAAAGCGGTTATCCTATGGTAAAATACCATTAAAAACATAAAGTTACCGTTAATTTACAGTGAAATTGTTTAGAGTGCAAATATATCTGATTAATTTATCCAAAAACAGTTTCTAAATTGACTTTAACACCATGTCGGCAGATGCATTATATTACGATACTAGATCCCACCTCAGGATTGAATGTTTTAGATACACAACCCACGCCTCATGTGAAGCATTTTCCCAAGGACAAAAAAGCTACATTAAATAATGTGAAGAAAAGACACATTTGTTAAGGATTTGCAACCACATATGTGCTAAGTTAGTCCCTATTTAAAAATACAGCTTATCCTTTTTTGCAGTGTCAAAGCTCCTGGTGTTGGGCATGTGGGACGACCGATGTCCCAGATTAGTGTTTCTTAACAAGGCTGTAAAGAGAAGACCCCGATGACGATGATGACAATAAAACCAAAGAGATATTCGGTTACAGAAGTTGTGACAAGCCATCACTCCCCTCCAGCTGTGTTCTATCACTCCCTGCCCGTGAGCTCTTCCACTGATTAGTCCATGCTCTGCTTGGCATATTAACTCCAGAATCGCTCTACTACGCCATCGGTTCCATATCCTGCAGGGCTATTTGATGCCATGATACCTATTAATTAATACAACATAAAAAGATGATGCTAAGCGACTGTCGGGAAGAAACTCTCACTGTGGTAATACGACAGAGAGTGTGTGTGTTGCAGTGGAAGAGAATTCTGTATTTCATGTGGTGGGTGTGAATGACTCTGGCACAGAGGGCCCCATGTGGGTGATGCATGGGAGACATTTTTGTTCAGAAGCGCTGATCCAGGCCGAGTCTTTTTTTTTTTTTTAAGGGAATTCCTCCTGCCTGGCTGCTTTGATACACGCCGGCTGGTTGTATTTACATACATACAGTGAGAAGGAAGCCCAGGCCAAAGGCAGAAGAGGAAGACAGTTTTCTTTTTTCAGAACTGAGAGAAGCTGACGCGGCCAATTACTGCATGCAAGCAGATGCTCCACATGCTTTATACATGATGTGTTGGGCTTATAATTTAAGTGTTTGATCCGTCTACTGACTAATTTCTCAATGAATCAATTGTTTGCTAGCTAGACGTCAACAAAGAGACAAATAATGATGATGAAAAAGAACATTGCATGATGAAGGGTGTGGTATAATATAATTTTTTTTAGTCAAACCAATTGTAAAAAGGACAAACAAAACGGGAAAATATTGTTGGCTAACTAATAAATGTCGTCTAATTGTGCCAACTATTCCCAAACAACTGTCCTTGGGTTTGATCATGTCCTCAGAATTCACCAAAGAAAACAATGCTTTGTGCCTAATTTTAGCACAGCATTCTCCAAAATCCTCTCAACACGACTAAGCCGAAGCAATAGCAGCGTTCAGGACACAGTTTTAGTCTCCTGACAAGTACATTTGTACACAAATGACCATCAGTTTGCAGAATATTGCCAATTCACCGGAGCAGCTGACGTAAATCCCGTTTTTGATCAGGCGCTCTGTGGAAAAGGCGTTGACCACAGCTCCTGGCACGGAAAGTGAGCCGGATGCAGAGGACATCAAACGGGAGCAATGACATGCTTCTTTTAACTCCTTCTCCTCAATAAAGATCATTGGCCAGGCAGAACCGTCCCCCCCTGGAATGCGTGATTGTCAAATCAGGGGGACTTTAAACCCCCTTGTCCAGGACACTCCATCCATCTTCAACACGCCAGTGGTCTGGACGCTGGGAGATGAACCGCTGAACCAGATGCTTCCATTCAGTCAGGCATCCTCCACCTTTCTTTTAAAATAATAAATACCGTCAAATGCATGGAACCCAAAATCAGGCAGCCACATCACAATTTCACGAGGCACTGAGGCATCCCAAAACCTGCATCCAATTTGGTGAGATACTGGGAGCACAGAGGCAGAGGGCCCCCATATGTGCTTCCCAAAAAACAAAACAGATGCAGGATATTAAGTCTGTGCGTGTGTGTGTGTGTCAGATGTATACAAGAGGTGATAGTGCTGAGACATGAGGTGCAGCCTAACCTTTTCGGAGGGAAACAATCCAACTCTGTGATGGCCTTTTCCCCCGTTGACACGCATGGAGAACCCTCTGGAATCAGATGGCATTCACCCTCTGATTTCATATCGTATATGCCATTTGCTCGCCGCTACGACGACGCCGATGCCTATAGTCGGATATACAGAGTTCACAATTACTCTCACGGTGCAGAAGGGAGGGATGCGGATAGATGTTCATGTTCACGAGAGCCAGGATGCCATAATTCTGCCGCATTCTGAGTCATAAATAAGACTGATGGCGATAGCCAGTCTGTTGAATTACATTTACATATAGATTTACATTCCCATCAACATGTAATAATGACACAGGGTTGGCAGATCCATGCTAGTCACATGCACACGTTCTGACATTTCAAAGCTGAAATTTGTGCCTCTTTGAGGAATGTAAAAACACCCCACATCCATCAAAATGACAAGTCTATGTAGTGAAACAGTGTAGGGCCCTGCCGGATCTTTTGTCTGCAGAATGAGATACGATGTCTCTGAAATAAAGCAGCCAAGTTAACTACTCCACCCCAGCTTCAATCGTCATATTTTATAATCAGAGTTTGTGTCTCACAATAATGCCGTTTCAGGGTATTCGGTGAGCTCATAGAACATGAACAACCATAATATATTCCTTCACAGAAGAGTAGAGTTCAACCATTTAGAGCCCCTGTTTGTTTGTTTTTTTGCAAGTGTGTCTGGTCTTTTATTAGATTGTGATGTTAAATAAAGCTCAGAGGCAATTTGAAACAACAATTAATAAATTCCCATCATAGAAAATCTAATTACCTATCTTTGCCCTGATGGGTTGTGACCTCCACGTCCTCTGGTCTAAAAAAATGGGCTTACTGATCCTCACAGATTTTAGTCATTATGTGTGTTGGGAAAACACATGTTGTGTCTTAGTCAATATTGCTTGGACAACGGAGAGTTTGTCTTTTGTCTGATTACCAGAACTTGGTGTTGTCTTAGTATGTTTATCTTCCAACTGAATATTTCCGTAGGGAAGAAGACCTTTGAGTAGCCTTGATGCATGACTTGTGTGTCAATTCAGTTTCCTTCTTGCAATTATTATTTATTAAATGCCATTTTTAACAATGAAACTGTTGGAATGGCACATTTGGAATAACTTAACATCCCAGCAAAATTATACATAACGCATCATAATCTCATAAAGATGCATAGAAACACTTTGTGCCCCTTTATGACCCTGGAAGGTAATGTATTATAAAAAAAGGTTGGCTTAACGTTTGGGGCTTGATTTGAGTATTTCTAACAAAATACTATCCCTATATATTCATTTAATCAAAGTATTCACTTCTTTTATTAGCTCTGGGTAGCACTCCGACTGTACAACCAGAGCTTCGGCGCCTCTGTGGGAAGAGGTTTGTGCTTGTGTATCTCAATAGCCTCGTGTGATCAGTCTTTATAAACCGTGGACACGTTTTCAAACGTCGGTGCTTCGAATTTCCAAAACATTATACATCTCAAGTCCAGCCTTTCAAACTCGAGCCAAACATTCTTTCGGATCGAGGCGCTTCTCGCGGGGGATCTCTGGTTGCCTCCAGTGGTCGTGGTGGTCGCCGGACGCACGCAGTGAAACGTTACTGTCGGCCAACACATTTTTCTGCTGACAAACCCGGAAGTTGTTCGTCTCTCTCCCTCTGACTGGAAGTGCTCCTCCGGTTCTTATAACCCCACCGTTTGTTGGATAAAGGTGAGCTCGCAGTCCCCGGCATTAAATATGAAACGTGTATAGTGGTGGCTATTGATAGAATGACTCTATTTGCATGCATTTGTTTTCCTTTGTGCGTGTTGGAGACTGAAATGCTTCCTTGTTTACATCCGACCCGGCTGCTGTGCTGCCTAAAGCACGTGGACAGACCGGAGGGACACATGTTTATCGACACGTGGAATAAATTACAAATTATTCACCATCGTAGCTACCGTTTTGTCCGAAGCTTTTGTGTTTTGGCGTCCGGGTTGACCTCAATTAGCCACTTAGCAGTGGCTCCTTGCCGTGCTTACGTGTGCCTCGAGCTGCCTGCTAGCTCGTTAGCATGGAGCTAGCCGGGGCTAACACCATGCTAACTTAGGAGTGCACACTTATTTATAGAACTGATATTTCTGTTGTCATTCGTGTGCTAAAAGATGCCGCGCCGTATGTTTGAGACCTCATTCTGTCATTTAACACTGTGTGTGTGCGTGTGTGTGTGTGTCCAAGAACAACAAACACCATGGCAACCAAGTGAATTTGAATTTCCACGTTCTGCTAATAGTGTTACAAACGTACCGATTAACCGCCAGGTAAGCTTTTTAATAGTTTGGTCGGAAATACCGGACATGTCCGAATAAACAGTGATGGAACAAGGAGTTTATTTATTATTTATGTGAAAGTAGCTGTAAGTTCTATTATAAAAGGTACATATCTACACTAGCCTGCCTATGCAGGTAAAATGAAATGCTAATATGTTATTATACAAAATAAAAGTAGTGATTAAGAAGCAGACCCCCCCCCCCGTTATTATATGTACTCAGCATAGTTGATACAGTAGGTCAACGTGGATTCGTGGTTACTTTGCGGTTTTTAAATCTATTTCAGTGCAGCATACTTGAAAAAATATGGTGTGCTTTTTTATCTAAAATCGTTATCTTCAAAAGTTAAAACTCCTAATTCGCCCTCTGTAATATTGGAGAATACGAATATGAAATATAATACAATAGAAATACTACAGTAAAGCACCTCAGAATCACACTTTAAGCTCCTTCCCACACACACTGTTTTCTGTTCCTTCTGCTTGATCAGACTTCTGCTGAGCTCGATGCTGGACAGAGTTCTGATGTCAATTTGATTTTTCCAAGGCTACTGTCCCTTTGCGTATCTCTCATACAAAAACACACTCCATCTAAAAACCTTAAACGACAGACCGAGCATGTGTTGGAAGTTGTTCCACCTTAACGGAGAGTCGGGGAGAAGTATATGGTTTGTGGTCCCAATGTACCCGTACAGCCCTGTGCTGAGCTGCAATACGGCAGAATAAGTGAACACACACCTGTGCCTCGGGGGCCGCGGCTGTGCGTGGGGGGGTGGGGGGGCGTTCTGTTCCACCAATGTGAAACACAGGCGGTCATTTGTCGGCTCCAGGTCGCTGTGCGACAAACTTCCAAACCGTCGCTCCCCCTCGCCAGCCGCTTAAGAGCCTCTTTCTTTCTGTCGCTTTAATCCCCCGGCGGCCGGCTTGTGACCGCGTAGCGTGGCCTTTCTGCGGTGTGTGCGGTCTGGGAGCCAATCATCTCCAGCCATCATGGCACAGACACGCAGCACTGGGCAGAGCAATGGGCCAGTGTGTGTGTGTGTGTGTGTGTGTGTGTGTGATAGTTAGGGAGACCGATATTGGGGGAAATTAGCAAACGCTGTATGTTAAAATATCTTCTTTCTAGACTCTTCATGACTAAGTTGGGCACTGATTGGGTATTTGTTGTTGTCCGCGTTGCAGGTAATAAACCTGGATTCCAAGCGGGTTCTCGCCACATAAGCTGTGATCAAAGGGCAAAGGAAAAAAAACTAATGTTGGAGGGCAGCTGATCCGTGCTCTCTCTCAGCTTTGTTAACAAGCCCCAGCGGGTTTAAGAACAAGACCAAAGTCTGAGTCCTCCCTGTGATTGACGCACGCCTGCGTTCTCTTATCCCTCCGTGCTGGAGATAATAATTCCTATCATTTAGTTTGCTTGGGATGGATAGTTTAGCCAGGAAGAGATTAACAAGCAATTTCGGCTAATAATGTACCAGTTGGTTATCCTATATTGGTATTTGGGGAATTGATAGTTGTCAAACGCAAGAGGGAAGTGAATATAACTTCGCTCTACACAGATTTTAATCCAAAAGTAAACATTAGTATTTGTAATAAAAATAATTATTACCCTCAAAGCCTTGAATGTTTTTACCTTTGGGTAATGGTTGGCTTGACATTAATATTGAGTTTGAATGACTAAAAGTAAACTCGTGTAACACTCAAAAGCCTTTTATTTTTGACAACATTTTTCGGGTAAATGCAGGCGTCTCGTCTCGATGGGCCACAAACACGCCGCTCCATACGTAAACGTTGGGCGTATTATATAAAAGGCCTTTTTTGACCTTCAGTCACATGAGGTCTCCTGGTAATACTCGCCCTGTGCAGAAACTGGCGTGGACAATATTATTACACATGGCTTATATGCCGTTTTATTTTACCCTGGTGTGCATTTGTGATGTCTTGCGTGGCCTAAAATGACTCCTTTTGGGTTTCATTTGTTTTACCCTGCAGTCTGCTTCCTCTCCATCTCCTCAGGTGTGAGCGTTGACACGGTGTGCACATGTGTGTGTGGCCCGAGGGCGCTCGGGGGTGATGTACGGTCCGTACCAGTATCGGAGGGCGTTGGAGGACGAACTCTATCGGGACGCTGGATGGGATGAATCTGGTGAATCTGATGGGTCGGAGGCCAACAGCGAGCTGGAGTTCCACCTCTACAGCCAGCTCCACTACTCCTCCAACGCCGGGGCGCTGGAGGAGCAGGGGGAGGACAGGGTGGAGACGGAGGGCCCGGACAGCCAGCAGCATGAGGCGCCCCAGGAGACGGTAGAACTGGATTGTAGGCCCCCCTCACCCGATTTGAATAATTTACTAGAATGCCTGCGGAAAAAGAAGAAGAAGCAAGACAAACTCCGTAGACAGAAGACGGGGAACGCGAACGGTCCAAAGTCGTTTTCATCATTTATCGAAGAGGTCATCGTGATCGACTCCGGCCCCGACGTCATCTCCATCTCAGAGAATGACAACAACGCTGACGACGATGAAGGGGTCTGCGCCTTGAAGGGCCGAAGCTTACGCCGGCTGCAGACTTCCACCCCGGCCCAACAGGTAGAGAGCGAAGAGTGATGTGTGAGTGTGTGTGTGTGTGTGTGTGTGGAAAAAGACATACAGCAACACAACTGTTGCTATCGGCCTATTGCACAAAGCAAGAAACATCCGCACCAATCCCAATTTGACCTAGAAACCCAGGGCACTGCCAATCAGCCCATTGTTCAGAGCGGAGCCTCTCCTAACGCGAGTTGTCTTAGCCGTTACGTTGTGCGGTCAACATTTGCTTCATCGGGTTAAACTAAAGCAAAGCACTTGTCTGTTGCCCTCTGATATTTGTGGCTGATCTACCTCTGAAATCCCTGAAATAAATCCCCCCGATTTAATGGCTGTGGATCTTGCTGTTGATCATGATTGCGCCGGGAAATTTCTTTCCTCAGTAGTGAGCAAATGAGCTCACGTTAGCTCCACGGGTCGGCTTAAAAAGCCGCTCCCAGCTTATCTCATACTGCTCCACCACTATATATGGTCCTGATTCTGTATGTGTTTCAATTCGATAGGTTTTGATTCTGAAGTGTGCTTACTTGTCACAAGGTGTTGCCTGATGAGGTAGTGAGTGGACATGTTGCATCACATTAACGACTACTTTATGGTTGCTGGTCATCCAGGGCCGCCAGAAAAGGAGTCTCAGTTTGCCGGTGACGGTGGACTCCAGCACCTCCGCCTCCAGCTCCGACTCTTCGCAGTCGGACTCTTCGTACTCGTCCGATTCAGATGACCTGGAGAACTGGATGATCCTGGGTCGAGGGCGGCAGGACGGCGACCAGAGCATCTCGCTCAACCTGGAGGGAGGGTCCGACGGCACCCAAGGTGGGTCCTTACTCCCACTTCTTTCTTTTTTTTGGTTTGGTCCAGCTCAGTCGGAACACACTGCCTACCTGCAGCGCATTGATAAGGAGCGGCGGGCCGCGCCCCCTGAGCGCTCTGCGCATTGGCGCCGGTGTCGGCCAATCTGTAAGCGCTCAGCGTTCCTGGCGGCGGCCCGGTGGCTCCCCTCCGCGATGCATCTGAAAGTGCTCCGCGTGTTGTTGTGTGCGAATACGTGTGCTGCTGAAAACATTCCACTTGGTTCTAATCAGCATGCGTGTGTACATGCACGGGAACATACCAGCAGTCATAACGCCGGAGCGCCAAACAAACAAACGCAGAGACAACAAGCGGAGGTTGGGCCAGATGGGAGTAATCAAAAAATGAATAAAAATATTCCCTACAAATCTCTCCAGATCTACACATTATCTTAACCTGCAGCCTCAGCAACCTCTCCAGACCCCCCCTCCCTTCTCCTTCCTACCTAACTCTCTCCCATCTCATTCTTTTATCCCATTTTCCCACTATTGTGCTCTCTTTCTCTCCCCCTGCACCCCCCCCCCCTCTCTTTCTGTGTCTCACCGTTATTTCCTCATTTGAATTTCTCTGGGCTGATGTTTCTGCAAGAGTGCCCACCGCCGCCTCTACACACAACTGGGCTGAAGGGGGGAGGGGGGGGGGGGGGGCCCGTTGGAAAGCCTTGAGGTTTTTGCCTTGTTTTTGGGGGGGGGGGGAGGGTTTTAGGTCTTTCTTTCTCTCTTTCCCTCTTCTGGCCTTTCCCTGTGATTTTTGGACCTTAACCTCATTTCGGCACAGGGGGGGTAAGGGGGTTGGCAGGGAAGGGTTTTTAAAGGGGGGGGAATGGGGGAGGTTTCCCCCCCCCCCCCCCCCCCATCTCTCTCCAGAGGGGGAAAAAAAGGAATTGAAGCCAAAGAAATTTGAGGGACGAGCCTCAATAGTCTTGAGCTGCGAGATAATTTGATTCTACTCAGTAATTCTTAGCAGGGGTTGAATGTTTTTGGAAAAGCGGGCAAATATGATTTTAGATTGTTGGTTTAAATTTCATGAAAAGACCAAAGAAACAAACATAAATGGGTCCCGATTTAGCTCTTTCCTCTGTAGAGCTCGGCCGCTGTCCGTGAAGTTTTAAAAACGCATCAATGAGCCACAGTCTTAATGTGACCTCTTAATTACAACCCACATCAACACTAGTTTGTTTACAGCCGTAAACGTTTGTCAGTGCATGGGATGTGTATTAATCCAGTGCAAAAAGAGTCAGACAAATCAAAACGCGAGCAAACGCATTGTTGATGTTGGTCTTTTTATTTGAAAAAAATATAATATAGAATATGCCAGCTATGCATTTTTCCAATGATCAAGTTGTTGATCAGAGTCCCTCCCCTTTCAGTCTCCCTCCATGGGACCATACCTCCATCCCGGCGACAGACGAATCATTGATTTGAATTGCACATGTGATGAAAATAGTTGTGTTTGTTCAGAAATGTCCAATTTGACATAAAACAGTTTGTTGTCGTATCAGGCTGAAGATGCGAGCTGTCCGGGGCTGGCGAGAAGGGAGATGAGCTTCGCTGATCGACTTTAAAAGGATCTTTTTAAATATGGACAAAAATCTCGTGTGTAATTCAACGTAATCAAAAATAGTATTTGTCCCTTAGCTGTGGCCTTTTTTTGTTAAAACACGCTCAGGTCCCACAGTGGTCGACAGAAGCTAAGCGCGTGCATACTAAATGTTTTTAAGTTTAACATTGGACTGTTTTCAAGTTTTGCAACTTTTAAATTAAAGTATGGATTGTGGTGAGACAACAGTAGACCACTAACAAATATTTTTTGTTTGTCAATTAGTTAATTCTTGGCGACAGTAAATAGGCAACTTTTTTTTGAAAGTCAAAAAAGGATTTTGATTTACATTTCAAGAAGAAATGAGTATTTCCTGCTTCCTTTTATATTATCGTAAACAGAATGTCTTTGGACTTTTCACTGCAAACAAAATAAGATCCTCTTCAGCTCTGCAAAAATGAAGATGCTAATATAATGGTAAGATAATATTTACAATTTTATAGATGCAGAGAAAATAATCAATTTAATCTGTGAAAATAACAGTTTGCAGCATTGTGCCATTTCAAAATGACAGTACAAAAAAAACCCCAAGGTGTATTGAGTTAATGCATACTGAATGTAAAAATAGTGAACCAAGAACATGAGTTTAAATCCGATATTGTATTCAATGAGCAGGCCATGTATGTGTAATGACATTTTGGTATTCCTCCTGTTCAGTCTGCTGCTGCAGGAT